TATATATATATATATATATATTTATATAATATACTTTTTTTATCTACAAAACTTGAATATAAAATCTTGTTCAAGAAAACTAAATCCAAATACTCGACTAACTACTTGTTGGTGACAATGTATTTGAATAAAAATAAAAATATTAAAAAGGAAGGGATTATATTTGAGAAAAAAGAAAACGATTGCATGGGACCCGAATCTATCAATATAGATGATTTGATTGTGGTATGGCAAAATTTGAAGCTTATAGGATGACATGACATGGATGATGACTTGAGTGACTACTTCTCTATGAAGCCAGTTTTGGTCAAAACAGCATTCCTCACCTTGCTGAGATCTCTCCCTTTCAGTGTCCTCCCCATCCCTTCACACACAGAGAAAGATGAAATCTGGCTCCTTGCAAGCTTCCTAGCAATCCATTCATGTGGAGGAATCATTTCATCATCATCATCATCATCACCCTTGTTGCTTACACCAACATCACCCCTTGACCCCTTTTTGCAACTCTTTCCATAAATTTTTGACCAATCAGGGACATCCATAGGGGCTGAGGACCCTTTAACCAAAGGAGCAGTAGTATTAGCCCTTGGAATCTTTCTTAGAGCAACAGGTAGGTGACATGCAGAAGAAGAATCACAAGACTCCTTGAATGCCCTTGTGGTTTTTTGGCCATAATCATCTCTCCCATTGGCTACACTCCTCACATCTTCTTCATCAAAATCTTTGTTCAAAAAAACTCCTTGATCTGCCATAATTGTTTGTGAGAAGATTGAGTAATGAGCTGTGATGCTCTAAGATTTCCTATTTCAGTATATATAGACAAAGATAAGTGAGACTTTTTTCACCTAATGAGAAAAAATGGACTTTTTCCTCGTCTTGGGAATCAAAAGGCAGAAAGGTGTAAGGGAATAACATCAGGAATCTACTTGCTTTTGTTTCAATAGCCTCCAAAAGGAACTAGGACTTTTTAACAAAGAAAAACTCACAAATGGTAACTGTGATTAACCCTTGTTAAATACCAACCGGTACAAAGGAAGAAGCCTTGAAAATCCGAGTCCATGCACACAGAATTGTACGTGCTTTTATTCAAATTATTTGTAGAGACACGGGGTGGCAGAAAAAGCCAACTATGTGTACATTATGTACACATCCAAGTGTGTATTATTGTTTGGCTCAGAAAAGAACACGATGATGCTATACATATAATAAAAGATAATGATGGGTCTTGGGCGTGAATCTCAGTTGACATAAATAATAGCATCATTACATGGAAATAATCAAAGTAAGGTGGTTAATTGCAAGAGTCCAAAAGGGCACAGAGGAAGGACAAGGATGAAGTGGGCGAGGGGAAGTTCCATCATAGCATTTCCAATTAAGAAGAGAAAACAAACACAGACCTTATGCTAATAAAAGTCTCTATCTCTCTCTTTGTTTAAATTTTCAATATCCTTTCGTAAAAGCTGCATGTGTATGTCGATTTGGAGAGGTGGTAAGGGACTATTGGCTTACCAATCCTCAACCTTATCCTCAACTCTGTAACAACACTCATTCACACAGAACCAAAATCCGTATCCTGTACCAATGCCTTCTTTCTCTTCTAGGAGAGCCTGCTTACAAACATTGGGCATTAGGAGACTGGTTCATAATTCAATACCATATACTCACAATTTTATTCTATAAATTCATTTCAAAACTAATCAAATTCTTATTTTAACATTTTAAATAAAATCAATTCAAGTTTCACTTTTTTTTTATTATTTATAACATGCCAACAATGTTAAAATTTAAAATTTTGTTCATATTACTTAAACTATCTAACATTAGGTTGTCAACTTATATACACTATTGTATTGACATGAAATCTCACATATTAGTGAATTTATACTTCAAATTTTATTTTTTAGACAAATTTTAAAGTGAAAAATTAAATCCCTAAATGTAAAAAAATAAAATATAAGTTAAATTACATATTGTAATGGTGTATTTGAAAGTTGAAAAAGCAATTGAAAATCCTTCTAGTTGAATTTGCGCTCATGATGACATGATGTGCCTGTTTATGCCAATCTTCTTAGTTAACCCCACATCGATTGTTTCTACTTTCTAGTATTATGTTGCTTCAATGCCCACCCAAGTTAAGGCAACTTTGGCTGTAACGTCGTAAGTTAGGTGGAATCTGAAAAAGGAGGCATGAGCTTTTAGATACATTAAATTTGTTATTTTTAATTCTCATGAATTTTACAATTTTAAAATCATTTTTATTATTACTTATATTAATAATACGATATGGAACATGTATATCGCATTCTATTAAAATTATTTGGGTTCAAATCCCCCAAAGAAGCAGTATGATGTGCAAAAGGTGAATCGTGGAGAATATTTTGTTAGAAAAGATAATCCACTTATAAATATCACGCCTTCAAATGACCGAAAATAATCCTTGCAAGTTGCAACCATGTGTATTAAAAAAATAATTTTTTATTTAAAAATATATGTCATATTATTAATAAAAATAATTTATAATTTTTAATATTTATAAAAATTAAAAGACTAAAATTAGATAAATTATAGTTAATTTTGTTTATATTAAAATAATAGTTGATCAACAAAAATCAAGGAAAGATTAATTTTTAATTGTTTGAGACATTTCAAGGTAAGGACACATTGCACTTTATCGGTTAATGTTGTGACAAATTGCATATAAATTTCAATGGTTTCCCGTTCAATAAATAAAATCATCATCAATCTTTTTATCATCTTGGTCGAAGATGATTATAATCATTTATTCAACTTTTTAATAATAATACAATGTCCAATAATTTTTTCCATCTACCTCGGCCGAAGATCGAAGTACGGGTCACTACTAAAAGACATTAAAAAGATTGGTTGACTCTTTTTTGTATTCTTGATTTCCAATTCTGTAATGCACAAATAAGAACTTGCATATGTCAATGTATTCTGCAATGCATTTCACAACTTGTGTCTTAGCATAGCATATACTAAAACCATGTAAAGTTTACCTACATTATTGCATGCTAACAAAATAATGAACCATTTGAGTTTTGTCTCTACAAACTGATGTCACCTTGCAGTTGTTTTTCACTATGATTCGCTATATGCAACTAATTATTCTAAGACTATAGGTTGTCACTAAATCTGTATAAAAAGGAATAAATCATAATTTGTGCATCATATTCATTTTGCTTTGCGTGCTGCATGGTAAAGCTCCAAATAGTCAAGGGCAGGCCGGTTCCAAGACCAATCTTGCTCCATCACGCTTTTGCATAAAGCGTTAAACCAATCACGCCCATTATACCATGCTGATATTGCCCTGAAAAATGTCATAAAATTAAATTGATTTTTGCAATAAGACATATACTTTAGACACACAGTTACCCTTGTGTGTGTGGCAACAACATCGAAAAATGCAAGGAAAAACGGCTTCTGGTTTTTTCAGTCCGACTTTCAACCCTTTTTTCCCCATGAAAATTCCAATGTAACAAATTTAGCATTCATAGGATTTTCTATTCCAAATATACAATGCCGGTAAACTCCTAAAACTTTTTCACAATATTACAATATTAGGGAAATGAAAATACTCTTTCCACTAAATACCAATCATACCTATGCATGCAACAGATTAAGATGCCAACCCCTAAGTATGGTCTCTAAGTAGGTTGAGTTTTGACAAAAATATGATTTTTATAGGACTTTTAGCCTACTGGTCATTCTTCGAGACTTTAAATCTTCCCACGGATCACTACTAAAAATAGCTTAATTTCTGTACTCATGCTGGCTGTTACATTTTTGTTTTGCGTGGTTTTCCAAATGATCTCTTCATCTAGTCAATAAGAGAGTAATCTACCAAGTATGGTCTAGTGTCTAAAAAGAACAACTTTCTCAAGTCTCAATTGTATTTTTTCCACACAAATTTCAGGATTGAAACCAAAATCACATGGTAAAGGGATCTGAGCCACTTTCACTCAAATTGACATATTGTAAATCTGTAATATATTTTTTGGAGTTGTTATTGGCAAATTGGGTTTTCATGATATAACCACCATCAGATGGCACATAACTCACCTATTGAGTGCATAATCAACACCTCCAGTATCAGCTCCATCAAAACTAAATCCATTTGTCTCAAGACCTTGCGCTTGTGCTCTATCCTTATCATTATCAACGTCAAATACTGTATCGTAAAGTCCTGAAAAATTATGTTAAGATGAATGTCAACTGCACCAAAACAAAGTTGAATGAACAAAAGAAATTGAGAAGATAAAAAATATTCCGTATATAAGTGTAAATATGTTAATAGTCAATGTATTATACACGGTATGAATGTTTACCAGCCATTTAAATGAATTATAATGTTGACAAAATATAAAGCATGTACAGACCTCCAGTTTTTCGAACAACAGGTATTGAACCATATCTCATTGCTGTGAGTTGAGTAAGTCCACATGGCTCAAAGATTGAAGGAACTAGAATGAAATCAGCACCAGCATATATCTAGAACAAAAGAAATCTAAATGAGTCAGTAGCGCCCCATATAATAGGTAAAATGATACTACAGGTTTTTCAGTTTCATAAGTTACCAAGTGTGAAAGAGGCTCGTCATATGAAAGGCAAAGTCTAGCACGATCATTATGAGAGGAATGCAATTCATTGGCCAAATTCACAAAATCATTTTGGATACGAGGATCTGGAGCTGAACCGAGTAATACAACCTGCATATCTTTTTACAGTCAAGACTTGTCTACATGAATGCAACATTTGTAAACAAGCTCTAAATTAAACAAGAAAATCTACTAACAAAGTCAAAGGCCATACTTTGACATTACCCTTGGCTTATAATAAAAATTATTGGGACCTATATAAAAATTTCATTCAAGAAGGGTATTATAGGGTTGAAGAGGGTTCCAAGTTTAAGATATCATACATCCTGTACAGTTATTTTTGCCAAACCACTCAACTGGAAACCTGAAACTGTTAACTGGAGGCTAAAAACTGGCCACCTATCTCTAACACAAGGGTGATGAGGATTGAGATCTAACAACTTAATCAAAGAAAATTTAATACCACATCAGTTGTCAGGTAGCCACTTGGCCTAAAATCTTGAAATACGAAATATCTATCAAGTATGACCACAAAATGATTTTGTAATGATAAAAAAAAATACAGTTAAAATGATTATAATCTTACTATCTTATAATGCTATTATGCAGGCAACTATGCCATTGATGGTGCACACCTTGATGTAAAATAGAATACCTGTCCACCACGTTCAAGGGTGTGCCATATGGCATGTTTGATGAGATGGATTCCTTTTTGATGAGTCAATCGAGTAATAATTCCCACTAAAGGAAGATCAACTTTTCTTAAACCAAGCTTTTGTTGCAAGGCTTCCTTGGAAGCTTTTTTTCCTTCAACAACATTTTCTGATGTGTATGATACCTGGAATAATGTGACATAGGAACTAGTCATAATTTAATTAGTAGAAACTAAATTAAATAACTTCTACATAATAAGTACAGGCATGGTTATAAGAGGGTGGAGAGATATGCTAATGACTCATTGTAATCGCTAATGAACTCAACTGAATAAAAAAATCCATGAGTCCATTTGCATTTAAGAAGCCTTAGTCAAAACTTTTCTATGTTAAATTCAGTTGTTGGGGCAATGTATGCAGTTTTGCACTGTTGCAACTGCAACAGTCGAGCAAGAAGCAATATTCCAGTGGATACGTTTGGCATATTGATGATCCATCCCAAACACACAACGTTACAAATAAAGATGAGGCAAGTATGTTCATCTAATCAGTTGCATTGTTTTAATGGCACTGGTAAGAAACCATATAGGATGGAGCTAGTCAATACAGTTATCCAAAGGAAGTAAAAAGGTGAAGATAAACATGGTTCATCAGCATTTTTCTAGCTCAAGTTTCTAAACTTAGTTTGCAGACATAGTTTATAAGGAGACACAATGTTGGGACTTAACTTTGATAACTACATGCCATTATAGGTATGTAAGAAAAGAATAGAAAGATCTGTGTATATGTCTACTTACAGGAATGAAGTTATCATTATATGGGTCCCATATATCTGGGTCGATTCCATTTATTATACCATGAAACTTGTGAAGATGAGGAGCCACTGCAGGATTACCAGCAACCTCTCTTGAATATGTGGGGGAGACCTGCCAAATATGCATGATCAAAATGTAAAAATAACAATCAACTTCTCCATTTCAGATTACTGATTCAGTTTAACCTCCAAAATTGTATCTGATGTTACAATTTTATGAAATTCATATTATAGTGGAAATATTTAAACAGATGGACAGCGAGAGAGCCAATCAAATTCTTGCCAAGAAATACTATAAGTGCACATTCACAAATTGTTTTGCTGTCATAACATACATAAAGCTTTTTCTCTCTATTGAATCTATCTAGTAATTTTATAAGCTAAAGATTATTAAAATAAAAATAAAAAATCAGCATATAGTCCTCTCCATGATCCCAGAGGAAAGCTTATGTCCATTTGTGGCAATATAGTCAGCAAGTTCAGAGAGTGAGGTACATAAGTTTATTCAACAAGTTCTATAGTCAGAGTCCGAGAGTTGAATCCATTTGATTGGAATTGGATAGAATCCAAATTATTGACATCTTATTGGTTATAATTTACAAAAAAAACACTTATGAGTTCAGACAGAATGGCAGTGACTCTTCAACACATATTAAAGCTCATGCGCAAGAATCTAAAAATTAGGTAGATGGCTTTTACCAAGTGAGATGAAAGAAAAGACAGCAGCCAAAGATTTTATTAAGGAAGCACACAAATTACAAGGTAGAGGATGAGAAATCTGCAATCCAATTCCAAAATAGAGTGAAGTTGATCGATTATTTAGGATCTCAAAGCTATTAGAACTCTATTTTTGCCTTGTTTGATTGCACAGATTGCTAAAATTAATTGTCCAACTAAATTCCTGATAGACCCTTAATACATTTTTAGTTAAAAAAAAATTAAAAAATTTAAAAAATGACCTGGATAAGAGTGGAATTCTGAGGGTATTGTTGGAAATTACATAATTTAGGATTGACCAAGTCTTATTAAGGACTATTCTACCCATATTCTTAGTCAATCAATCTTGGGCGTGAAATTTACAAGACTAGAGATAATTGCAACCCTAACATCAAGATCAGTTTTGACTTTTGATACCAGAACAGAAATACATTGGGCCTAATTAAACTCCAAAAGCTAGCCCAAACGGGGAGGATTGCCCAAGTAGCTATATTCTTAATAAATATTGGATATCTTAACAATTTGTTTATATGTTCAATTCAAATTTCTAATTCCATTAGGTTTTTTTGCTCATTTTAGGATGATACCCTACCTCTAATTCTGTACTTTATTAGCTCTGAATGTTATTCCTCAACTATTGCAAGGTAAATGAAAAGATTTTCAAAAAGAACAAAGCAAACATTAAGACTAAATTATTTTGTTATAAGAAATTTAAAAAATCATAAAAGAAACTCAATAAGACAGAGAAAAAATAATGAAGAGAATGGAAGAATAAGAAGTCCTCAAAATTTTAAAAAAAATTATATATATATATGAATCAGAAAATTACAAAGAAAAAAAAAAAGAAAACCAATTGAGCAAAGCAGCCCAATCCTTCAACATAGACAAACTTCATTTAAAAAAGACAAGTGCTTTGTTCCAAAATATTACTAATTATTATCAACAACGAAAATTTTCACCACTAATGTTCGAGAGAGAGAGAGAGAGAAAAAAAAAACACTTGTTGAAAATCATTTACGTACTACTTTCATCTAACAACTTAGCTTTTGGAACAGTTAGTTAATGATAAATAAATTAATCAAATGCTGAGTGAAAGTTAGAGAAACTGACAAACTTAGGGCGTAATCAGCACTTACAGTTGTAGCCTTGTCTGCATATTGCATAGCTTTTCCAATGAAATGGGCTCCAAATTCAAGGTTATGAATTGTGAAGACAACTTTTGCTTTACTTAGACCATAACTTGTATAGGTGTCTTTAAATAGCCAAGCAACTGGAGCACTTGACCAATCATGGCAGTGGATTATATCCTGCCCATTGATTAGAGGAAATTAAAATACATCCTTGGTGAAAATGTTTTATGCTCCAAAAGTGTGTGATAATATACATTGTTAAACCTGAGATCACATGCTTTATATAAATGGTATGCTAGTTAAATCTGAAAGAGAAATACCTACCTAAAGTAGGAAAAAGCTAATCACTTGAAAAGGTGCTGATAATATTTTTGGTTGTTTTATGAATTATGAATAGGAACTTTGGTTACAATTACACATATGCATGCAACTACACATGTTATAGTTTCTGACCACTCTCAAATGAAAAATTGCATTCACATCATGTTTTTGGGTTTAGCAGGATGAGAAAATGTTGAGTTACCTTACCACATAGAATATTTGCATTCACATCATGATTTTCACTCTTACATCAGGGAAATAAATGTTAATTGAAAGTTATTAAACTGACATCTTTTAATAATAAATAAATAAAATGAACAGCTTGGACACAAATAAAATTATATCTTACAGGATGAAATCCACTTTGGAGTAGAAACTCAAGAGCAGCATGACAAAAAAAACCAAATCTCTCTGCATCATTCCCACGACCATATACACAGCCAACCTGAAAGAATCTGCATCATAGAATATTTGCAAAGCTTAGTTCAATTTATAAAGCATTTGAAAATTTTCAAGTCAGCTTAATGACCATTTTCATAAAGAGTAAAAATGCAGTTACCCAAAAATAAAGAAAGAAAGAAATTGCACGACTGATTAAAAAAGATACACTACAGATATGGGAAATAATGTCTGCAGATGATCAAAATGAATATATGGTTTAACATTCAATGCCAAACACAATATAGGTTAACAATTATCAATTCAAACTTTTGGGTTTACATAATTAATAAATGTAATTTATGCAACTGGAAAGATCAATTGATTGGTTTAACACACTTGACTCTTTTGTTTTGTCCAGGCTTATTTCACATATAATATTCACTTTTTTTGTAAATACAGAAACCATTTTCTGTTCTCACTTTTTTGTAGAAGTGGTGACAGATTTTATCTGATTAGCCATGATTTGAATTCATCATATACATTTCACAGAGATATAATTTTCAAATATCTGAAAGAGTACCTGCAGTTGACATTCAAATATAGTTTGGGACTTCAGGTTAATATCAAAAAGAGTAAAACATGGACTGTTTAAATTTATCCTAATATTGTACAAATTTGGGTTTAATAGTGGGTTAAGAGTCTAACTTAACACTACAAAATCAGTTTATAAGGAGAAAATTACTTCCTACTTATATACACTTTTATAGTTTTATCTGCAATCAATGTGGGATCTCCAAAAGAGCTCATAAACTTTTCTCAACCTAACCTTCATGCTGCTCAGAAATATTTTAGCCTCATATTGGTAGTGGTACTAAGTGACCAAGTGCTCCTTAAATATGTTCAAAGCATAGCCAGCAAGTTGCATATGTGCCTGACTACCACCCTTTCTACTCATTACCTAAAATGCTGGTACCTCAACCTTACTTCGGGTAATGATCAATCTATATCTACTGATAGGGTCCAGACTCCAGAGAGTAGTTTGTTAGAATAATAGCTGTTAATTTGAATAGGTCTATTGGGCATTTATTAGGATAAGGATTTACTTTAAATAGCAGAGTGTAGAAAATGGGGAGGGTTATCATTTTGGGAATCTGAGCATTAGCTTTTTAGTAGAAATGGAAACCCTCAGAAGGAGAAACTTCTACTTAGGTTCATTGTTTGTAATTCAATAAAAACTGCCAAAGCATTCTTTCTCCTTTTCTACCTATCTATTTCTCTTTTCTCTCTGGAAACTAAAGACTTTTAACATCTACACGTAGAAAAATGTGTCCAAAAGAATTTGAGCCCTAAAAATATTGCAATCAAGCAATTTTTTATTATAATATTCTTAAAGTTCAATGATGCGACTACAGCAACCATAAATTTTTGCATGTTATCTCAACATGGATTTTGCTCTAACCTAGAAAGTTGGTCTGGAAAAGACTATTTTTCAAAATAAAACATGAGGCTCAGACGTAAGAATCACTTAACTGACATACATTGGAGAAAATTACGCAGAATCAAAGCACTAACCCATTTTGAGGCTCCAAAAAGTAGACAGAGAGGCCCTCAACTTTTCCATGCCATACTTTTATTTCAGTCCCACCCCAAAAATAGTTTCTCTGACATTGCAAGTCCTTTATCTGCATTAGAAGTCATTCATTTAGAAGCTAATAATAACACTAACTAAAACACAAATAAAATATGCATTTTCCAACAAAATGTCAAGGAAAGTGCGCAACAACAGCTATTTATGTCTTCTAAGGGAGATACTGATGGAGATGCTCAACAGCCAAATGTGAAGAAATTCTCTCAACAAGCCATTTCCAAGCAGAAGCCACTCAGACAATACTTGAATCCCCCACCCCCCTCTATCGATTATTAATCAGTTTTCATATTGAATATCAAACTGTATCACTCCCAATTCACAATGATAATTACAACCCCATGTGTATTAAATAGGGAGTTGTGGACAGATCCGAAAACTTATGAATTAAGGAGTATAATTAAGATGTAATACAAGTACCAAATCAAATAGGAGAGAGAAAAAGACTTACATTGCTAAGGTTCAAACAGTCATATTTTGGAAGAATAATGTCCACATTGTGATTTAAATCCTGAACAGCCCGAGATAGACTGGTAACAACATCACCAAGGCCTCCAACCTGCCAAAAATGAATACCATCAAAAACAAAAATGGGTTAAATTAATTTACAAATATCCTTTTGATAACATAGTAACAATCTTTTTGTCAATAAAATTTGCAATAACAACTGATGAATGGAAACAATTACCCTACAGGAGCAACCTAGCTACATCAGGGAACCTTCTCCTAATGTTACTCATCTTTATCACTAATTAAAGAGGAGAAATGAATTTTTTGACTCAAGATGTTCAACAATCCTCTCTTCATCCACAAATAAAATAATACACTTATTAGGGTTATAGTTTATATTATTTCTTTATTGCACAAAGATGCAAAGGAAAACGTTATTTATCAGAGAAGCTTGATTATTAACAAGACCTCCCTATGACATTGACACTAAGAGTCTAAGACAATACAGATTACAACAATGGAAAGTCTAATGAGAGAGAAAAGAACTGACTGCCATATCAGTTAAAATGAATGAGACCATGAGAGTATGATGTAATCCAGGTACCTCTTTCTATAACCTGTAACGAGCATAAGGCTAAGGAGGGGAACCATCCCTCAAAAGCCGGCCCAAGAGGTTGGAGAACCTCCCGCCTTATAAGGCCTCCCTGGTAAGGAGACCTCCCCGATGTGGGACTTGTTACATTACCACCCCCTTCGAAAGCCAGCGTCCTCGATGGCTGCACTCCACGGTACTTCACTCATCGGCACTTCACTCGGCCCTTGCCGGTCAGAACCCTCCGATGGTCAGAACCCTCCGTGGGTAGCCCTTCTCGATTTGGCTGGCTCTCAATGAAAGCACCATTGTAACGAGCATAAGGCTAAGGAGGGGAACCATCCCTCAAAAGCCGGCCCAAGAGGTTGGAGAACCTCCCGCCTTATAAGGCCTCCCTGGTAAGGAGACCTCCCCGATGTGGGACTTGTTACATAACCCTGGTTTGAATTATATAGAACAAGAACAACAACCAGGAAGACTAGAAGAATGTTTTGTAGTATATCCCAAAAATACACTTCTTATTAAATCATAAATTTTTATTGTGTTCTCTTAAGAAATATTTCTAACATCCCATATATTTAAGGGCATGTTGAATGCTATCCTTAAACTTGCCAAAGTTCAGATAACATATAAGAGTTAAATGATAGTTTTTCCCTTCCCCGTGAAAATGAATATGCTAATTTTTTAACCCTACAAATTTTCAATTTTCATAGAAACATATTGAAAGTGTAAAAAAATTGCAACTGATCTGTTGATTTATTTTATGAAAAGACCAGCAAATGTAGCTGTCTGGTGCAACAGCTTATACCATGTTGGGAATGAATCCTCTGACTTTATCATGTGGAAATTGTGTGTATCTCTTTCATCATAAATATCCACAAATATTGATAAGATTTGACCTATCACAAAATTTCCATGACAGTCATGTGAGGACTTGTTCGAGCCATAAATAACACACCACATGACAAATAGTAAAATTTCTTCGTTGTAATTTCCTACAATTTAAGCCATGGTAATAAAACAAGTTTGCACAGAGACATGTCAATGAACTTAAAGATAAGATATATGCAATAGGCTATCTCACTTTTGCAATTGGGGCCATCTCCACAGCAATATGGATGATATGCAAAGGTGGTTCCTTTACAATACCTCCAAAAACCGGTATGTGATAATCCATGCCAAATTTGTTATCAAAAACTCCACCATGTTCACTCTCAGAGAATACAAAATCCATCATGTATGCATCCAGTGGAACCTTAACTGCAGAAACACAAAGTCATTAAACTTCTTCAGGACCAAATGTCTTTTTTTCCTAGAGAGAACAAAGTGATTATACTTTGAATGAAAATGCAATACGCCAAATTTAAAAAAGTATAATAAAATTGTCCATCTTGCAACACTATTTATAATTATACAAGACCTGTGAACATGGAATATGAATACAACCATTAGTGATAAAGATAAGAAACTCCTTGCAACTTTCTTTATAATATTTGTGACAACTAAAACTCAACCATCATATCAAAGACCAACCAACAGCTTAGGATACACTAAGGGTAACGGCATATGAAAAACATTTTAAACATGCAAACATCCACAAAAAATTCTGAATCATTATATTATCTCTATCTACGCGGTAGCATATCAAAAAATTTCTGCACAAATCCATATGCAATCCAAAGGCTTGTCTCCTTGCAACTTTCTTTATAATATTATCTCCTTGCAACTTTCTTTATAATATTTGTGACAACTAAAACTCAACCATCATATCAAAGACCAACCAACAGCGTAGGATACACTAAGGGTAACGGCATATGAAAAACATTTTAAACATGCAAACATCCACAAAAAATTTCTGAATCATTATATTATCTCTATCTACACGGTAGCATATCAAAAAATTTCTGCACAAATCCATATGCAATCCAAAGGCTTGTCTCCTGTAGTGTTCTTAAAATAGCATTATATGTACACAACATAAATGGATAGCACAATAGTTCATTCATAATGACCAGTAATCTGCTAACCAGAATAGCACATCATATATGTTGAAACATAAAAAATGTGGTAACATAATGTATTTGGAGGACAGATCATATTCAGAAATAACATTCTCTAACCAAAATCTAAATCCAAAAAGAGAATTAAAAAATCAAAATTTAGCGACCAAAAGACATTAAAATCCTGGATATTACTAACTATGGAATACTATGGTCTAATAATCTTTCAATTGTAATGTGTAAACTATGGGAGAGACTCACTGGAGGCTTTGACATGAGTGCCATTCTCTGCAGGTAGCATTCTCTGAGGTGGCAATGGACCATTACGGTGCGACCAACGATTAAATGAACATCTAAACCAAACCTCTGGTTTTCCATTCAGATTTGTATTGGAGGGGTTATAAAATATTGTCACTGTGCTTCCTGCTCGAACATCGAGAGGGTCAGTGAATACAATGTGCTTTTGAGAAAGCAAAAATCTTTTCAAAGTTCTTTCCTTTGTTTCGGCTTTCAACCGTGCTATTTTTTCAACCTGCAAAAAGGATAGGAACAAATCAACAAGATGAGTATCCATTAGTTTGAATATCTGTTAAAGAAAAAAATGCTTTTAAGTAGTATTTAAGCAAACAGTCATAGGGATCCATCTAGAACTACACTCTCAACAAAGGTGAACTTATCCTCATACACTAGATTACATTATGAGAATACACTATTTTTGGGTATATATTTACATGAAGTGGCACAAGAAAGAAAACAGACAACTGAAAAGTTTATTTATATGATTGGCAAGAATCTTAAGTTGTGCCTGAATGTTAGCATTTGGAAGCCATCTCAAGCAAGAACTAACCTTTGCCCGTATAGCTTCCTCTCTTAACCTCCTCTCCTCCTGAAATTGTCTGTATAGCAGCTGCTCTTCCTCGACCCAAAACTGTTCATCAGGTATAGCCTTAGGGACAATGGCATGGAAATCTTGTTTACAATTGTTATCATACACCACTGCCTTCTGAGGTGGACCATCAGCAAAGACCCAATCAAGGACAAGAGCTTGGTCAGGTACAACAACTGCAAAATATATAAAAATTGATCAACAAAAGGTGTTGCATACTTCAAGCTAATCCTAAAGAAAAGACCAAGTTTTTTGAAGTATTCTGAACCAGTATTCTTTTGCTGATATCAAGCTTTCATTGATCTAAAACAGTTTAAAGAGTTGATGGCATGAGCCTAAGGGTTGTTTGGATAAACTTCTCCTGAAGTACTTTGATGAGAAAAAAAAATTAAAAATGAAATAAGTTTCTCTATAAGTTAAAATTAGCTTATGCATAAGTTAATTCGTAAAAGCTCTCTCTTATTAGCTTCTTCAAAATTTATTTTTAATTCTTGCATAAGCTAGTTTTAACTAGTAGAGAAGCTTATTTCTATTTTCCTTCTTAATTTTTTATCCTAAAAGTGTTTCAGAAGAACCCTAAACCCTATTATAGAAGTAAACATCTAATACTTCCAATAAGAAATTTATATCTCTCTATTTATCTGTCTACCTATGAAATTTCAGCCGAATGTATGTTGACATAGAAGAAATCCAAAGCACCAAGTTAGAATTTAGATATGGTTGTGTAACTTATAAAGTTTAAGATTCAAAATTCTCATAAAAGATTTTAAACAAAATAATGGACATACACACAAATATCAGGTCCCTTAAATGCAACCTTTTCATGTTTGAATTAAATGATGGGCATGAGCATATGACAGATCTATAAAATGAATTAACTTCAATACTGGTTTTTCTTATGGACAGAAAAGATACTTCAGAATCTCATCTGCAAAGTCAAAACATTCACCTAAAGCATTACAATCATGTATCAGTATATACCACAACATATAGCATGAGTCCTTCATATAGAAAATATACCTAATATAAATAGAGAGAAGCCAAACTCACACCCTCAAGCATGTTACATCATGGCGGAGATGCAATAGGTGAATGTTAAAACTCCATCCCCATGCATGTCACATCATAGCATGCATGCGCACACACACACATATATACAAGAAGGGATCCACTTATTCCAAAAATAAGTTTTGGTATACATATTTCATTCAATAATTCATATTTTACATTAAATTTTAATGATCTAATGTTAAATTAAAAGTTCTTAAAAACATAGATCAATTCTGTAAATTTTAAAAAAAATTAAAACTTATTTGATACTTTGTTTCATTAATTGAAATTAACGGGTAATCATAAAAGCATTTTATATATTGATTTGAATCTATATAACAAAGTATCATATATTTTCAATTTTTTTTTAAAAAAAATGTAGACTTGATCTATATAGAAAGAACTTTTAATTTAACGGTTGGATTGTTAAAATTTAATATAGAACATGAGTTATTTGGTGGAGTAAGTCTACTGATACTTACTCTTGAAGTAAGTAAATCATTTCTCTCTCTCTCTCTATTCATACTTTTTAAATTCTAGTAAAAGATTAATTTCAAGGAAATGAATTAATAACAAAGACAAGGAATCTATATGTAAAAGAGCATACCATCGGCATACCACCATTCACCTCCTTTTAAAACAGACTTGACAAGCCTTTCAACAATTGACAATCCATACTTCCAATTATTATGCCCACCATGAATCCATATTTCATCAGCATGTGCAAGAGGACCTGAGCTTCTGTTATAATATAATCTGATCAAGTCCTTGCCTCTAAATTCACTTGGTTCAATATACCAAACATTATCAATTGATTTCACAGCATTTTTCATCAATTGTGGCAACGTTTCCCGCATTCTTTCAACCTCCACCCTCGCCCGTGACCTGTCCTCTTCCTTTGCAGCTCTGTCTGCCTCCGTTCTCCTTTGCTCTTCAGCTTGTCTTTCCCTTTCAGCTTGCTCCCAAGCAAGTTTTTCTAATTCCTTACGTTTCTCCTCAAGCAAGAATTCTTCAAATTCTATTGCATCCATTCCTCCATGTACGTTTATGCAGAAGTCTTTTTGGTCATTATTGTCATAGACGTTTTGTCCATTGAAGAACACAAAGTCTACCTTATAGGCTTCTCTTGGAACATATAATTGGCAAGACCACCAATCACCCTTGAAACTAGTCTTATTCAACCTAACTGTAAAAGATTTCCACTTCCAATCATTGAATGCCCCCATGATCAGAATGTCTGGTTCCTCACTTAGTGTTGAAAGGTTCTTGTTAAGGAAAATTTCTATATCTTGATCGGGTTTAACCACAGGAGGATATACAAACAGCTTAGTCCCTTCAAACAGATTTTCCTCTGCAATCCTCTCTATCTCCTGCCTGCGCTGATTTGCTTCCAACTCCAACAGCCGAGCAGCCTCCTCATTTATTCTATCATCATCAGCAGTGGTTGATTCCTCAACAGCTTCCTCAGCTATTTCACCATCAATATCAGTATCTGTTTCTTTAACTCTTTCATCAATTTCTGCACGGTCTAATAACCCTTCTTCCGAATCTTGAACAACCCCAACACCTCCATTTGAAGGAATCTCATTCCGTAGCTCAAGAATTTCAACATCCTCATCAATTATAGAAATGTTACCTCCATTGTTCCCAACAACACCCACTGTCTCATCTAACAATGATAATTCCCCCAAACCCCCAACAATTTCATCAGTTCTATCTACAACCTCTTGGGAAAATCCAACTTCCCCTTCTGTATCATCATCAATATTCACATCAACTGTTTGTTTTTTATCAACCCCTGAAACCTCACTGACTACAGGAGTTAACTCTCCCTTCTTCACTCTTGCATTCTTTTTACTCCTGCTCTGGTTTCCTGGGACAAAACCCTTCGCAGCAGTGCCCTTGGACCTTGCAACTGACACCTTCTTCGGTTGTCTCCTCCGAGAAAAATCTACCAAAATATAAAAAAAAAACCCATTTATTGAAAAGCAAATTCATAAATTCGAACAAACAATCTTAACATGAACAACAAATCAACAGAAAGCAAATAAGGTAACTAACAGTAACAAACCTGCACTTGCAGAGACAAAGGAAGCACCCCAACCTGCTTTACACGGTGAACACTGAAACCCCAAATAAAAAAAATCAACAAATTAGACATATTCTGATTTTCACCACCATATTAATCCATTTAGAGAGAGAAAAGGCAAGTGAAACATAAAACATAAATAAAGTGAGTAAAATGAAAAAACAGCTTAGTAATTACTATGTAACCAGTTGCAAAGGTTACTGAACGACGAGGTAACGGGTTGAGTTTGAAACAAGCGCCTCTACAAGGGAACGCCGTTTTGCAGTTTAGTTGCAAAGACATCTCCACAGCCACTTCCTTCGAGCAACAACAACGTTTCTCCCTATTCCCCTTTTATACGCGGCGAGGTTTAACCATTTGATGAATGCTCAATAATTGAATGTTCCTCTGAATCTGTGCGCCAAATAATGGAAAAATAAAATACTATTACATAAAATAAGAAAGAAAAAAGAAAAAACAGTGAAGATGATGATGATGATGAAGCATGCACTTGCAGTTGTGCGGCGGTGGAAATGTGTGCGAAGAGATTTTGATTTGAGCATCAAAGTCTGCGTCTGAGCCACACATATGACATATGTCAAGTGGAGCAATTTGTTGTTGTGTTACTCTTTTTGCTCTGAGCAATGCACATTCATTCGTTCAATTCATGGAGTAACGACAGTTCCAGAACGCATCCAACGGCCTACAATTACTTATATTTGAGTGGTTATTGTATGATCGAATGTTGGTGTCCAATGCTTCGTGTCTTTTGTCACCTACGTTAACTATCAAACTACTGCTGCCAACTCAAAACTATTTCTCTTTCCACATATTATACCATCTCCGTTAATCATAAATCTCATCAAAAAACAAAAATAACAAAACCTTGGTTATATTCTTAATTTTTTTTTTTCATCTCATTTAAAAATTGTTTTTAAATTTATAATCATCCATTGTTATATTTAAGAACATTTTCTAAAGATGACCTAAGTGTTTGTTAATAATGAGAAATTAAAATACTTTGGACTTAAATACATTTTTAATTATTTAAATTTAAAGAAAATTTATTTTTAGCTTCTCAAATTTAAAATTAATTTTTTAATTTTATAATTTCAAAAAATCTTATTTAATTTTTATATTTAAATTTTATTAAAGAATTATTCAAATATTATTACATAAAATTTATCTTTTAGTGTCTCTATTAAACTTTTAGATATATAATTTGATTTAAGGGACTAAAATAAAATTTTTAAAAATTATAAAAATTAAAAATAAATTTATTTTAAGTTTGAAGGATTAAAAATATATTTAAGTCAAAATTTTATTATAATCATTAAATTGATATTAATAGTCTAAATTGTGTATTTTATTATAGGTTTTTGAAATTTTTAATTAAAAATTAAGTGAAACTTTTAAGAAATCGTATGAAATCTTTAATTAAATATGTAATATTAACGGTTGGTTTTAATTTAATAATAATTGAACTAAATAATTTCATTTCTCCTCATAATAATAATAATTTATACCTATATATAAAAGTGATTTTGTATTTTTATGTATATAATATTTTAAATTATTTTATTTTTAAATTTTTAAATAATAAAAATTACTTATTCTTATAAATATAAGACTTAAAATATTAATATTTGAGGGTTAAATATAATATCAATTGATTCAATAAATATTTATAATTCTTGAACATTTTTAAATAAATATAGATACATAAAATGTTTTGACCCATTCATAATAATAATAATAAATGTTTGCACGTTGAAACTCAGAATTTACGAGTGAAAATTTTTAGTCATGTGAAAAATGAAAAGATGAAATTATATAACCATCATTATATTAAAATGGGGACGAAATTTAGAAGCACTTACGTTTTTTTTTTGTTACTTTTAATTTACTTTTTCGACCAATTACGGTGAGAAATGGAAACGTAATTTTTTCTTTTAGAATTTAAGTTTCGTCTCATTAACCTACATAAATTTTTAATGTAGGTTTTTATTGTAGATTATCGACATAAAATTATGCTTTAATTAGAAAACAATAAAATACCTAATAAATTGCATTCATGTTTTGTCTAAAAATTGATAGTTTATATCATGTATTTAATTATAATTTTCTTCGTTTTAAATTCAAGATTACATATAATTTGTAATTAAATACCAAAAAAAACATACACGATCTGAAATATCAATGTTAATGTAATAATTATAATTAAAAAGTCTCATCTCTCAGCAAAAGCATGAATTCTCACGTTTTCTATATAATTTTATTTTTATATATTAGTTGGCTATCATATTTTTTTGTTAATTAAATAGACAAAAGATTTGGTTCCAAGTAACACAGTCGAAGGTATGATTGATATATAGTGTTTAGCTGTTCCTGTTCGACTTTTGATAGGATGCAAGGGTGAGATGCAAGAAACCAATGAGCATGCGCCACGTGACATCTCATATCAGAACGTGAGCACAATCTTGGAGTGGAGGTTTCTGCTAAATTCTTCATTTGGATCATTAATTTAATCCATGGAACGTTCTAATCACGATCACAGACTTATTTCAAGAGGAACCAAAGAAAAACGTGAAATGGTTTCCCCGTTTTGCTTTCGGTGTTTGAATCTGAAGAAAGGAAAAACTCACATGTTCGCAAACTATTTTCTCTCGTGACTCGTGAGATAGGATTACTTTTGTTATATCAAATATTTACACTAAACAATGTTCAATCTATTTACTCAGTCTTAGGACATCTCAAATTAAGTAACTCCAATAATATCTCATTATTTTACTTTTACATCTTAGGGTATTATTATTATTATTACACTTCTCCATAATGTCATGATTTTTATTATTTTAAGAAATTTAATTAATTTTTATTCAAATTTAACGATTTAAAAAGTTTTTAGATAAACTCCATAACTTATCGGTACCACACACTTTCATAAATAAATAAATAAATAAAATACAACTAAATAATGATTGTTGATTTCTGTGACTGAGATCCGCTATAATTGAAGAACATCAGAATCTTCTACCAATATGCTCTTCTGTTTTCATGATGAGTTGCTCTCTAATGGTGTAAAACTGCTACTTGAATTGTTTTTTCAACCACTGATTCACTTGCTCTTGCAACCTTAAAAACACAGGGAAGGAAAAAAACATGAAAAATGACAAATACGTGGAAAATGACACCCAAGTTATTCTAAGAAATATATAGCTTATTTTTATTTTTTAATAATTAAGGAATATTCCACGCATAACTATTACTACTTTTCTTTAAATTTTAACCTCACAAAATATTAACGTACAATTTGCTTTATTCATTAAAAAAAACGTACAATTTGATTTATAAAAAACAATCAACACTGGAATCTAAATTTATCCTGAATTTAATATTTTTTTACCACAAAATCATGAATAATTGATGATATAATGTGGTCAAATCCAAAAGCAATTAAGAAGAACAGGTTAAGTTTGAAAAAAAAAAACCTAAACTTTTATTGAATTTTGAATAATTAATTTAGTAGCTTATTTTATGTTCTATATGTTTATTTTTTCTTATAAATGTTTCATTTATTTTGATATTGTATTTTGGTCAAGTGGTATAAGATATTTTGTTCTTGTATTATTCTTTTTAAGGTATACTTAGTTATTTAAGAAGAGATGTAACTAACTAAAATCATTATGAACTTATCATACTTAGATGATTTAAACATTTTCTTGGCCCATTGGATTGGACGTTCACTTGCAAATGCAAGTGATTTGGACATCCAAACCAAGCTAGCATAGTCATTCAAGTTGCAAATTAAGTTAGATAATTTTGATAGTAATATCTCAATAACTTGTTAAAAATAATCATTAATTTGGTAGTTATAATGATTAGAATAGTTAATCAGAATTAACTTAAGCTAACCTAGACTATTTTTAAACTATGATTAACTTAACTTATTCCATAAACTTCTAGACAATTAATTAGGATTGGTTAGCTTAAGTATAAAATAACTAACCATAGTTACATTTAGAAATAATTAGTCTAGTTTGCACTGGGGGTTACCACACATATACACATGTCTCCACAAGGGATCCCAATCCATCATGACAGCGGGACACGCCTCCTAACCCTCCATGTTACTGGGAAGCCTCTCTTCCACATGGACTCACCATTAGAAAGACTTTCGACACAAGGGATCCCAAACTTGGATCCACCTGCCATCATACTCGTCGAGCCGTCACCTAATCAGACCATCAGCTCTGATACCACTTATTGTGCATCGGGGGTTACCACACATATACACATGTCTCCACATTTGTGAGATATTTTCCGTTTTAGGCCTATACTTTTGGACATCACTCAAAAGGCCTCTTAACCAATGAAGACAAGTGTGTGTATATAAATCCATGTCCATTCTCTTATTTGAACGATGTGAGACTTTGCTTGCATCCCAATACCTACATATAATTTGCAAATTACTTTGAGATAAATAAGTAGATACCTTTAAATTTTTCTCTCTTAAAATCTTGCTTCCTTCCTTGGATAAATTCCTCCTTTTCTATTAAGGAGTTCCTCCTTAGGACAAGATCCTTACCTCGTGCTTATCTTTCTTTCAAGGAAATTGGTGCACCGTTTCCTTGCTTCTCCCACTAATTTATGATTTTTTAAAGTTTATTCCATCCATAGAGAAAGATTGGACACAACATAGAGACCAGGGGAGGGACTCATTAATTACTCTCCAATAGTTTTCATCATATTAAAAATTATGAATAATGCATTTAATTAAAAAATGAAATATCCTTTTAACAGCCAGCAACTTAGTCATAACGTGTAATGATTATATTATAGATTAACCAGTCAGGTGATCATGACCGGACACGACTAATCAAATAATTGGTTGAAAAAATGGACACCACATATCATTTTATTAGTATATTTACCAATTGGATTTGGTGAATTTGGATTTAATACGGTTCTTTTACTGGCAATGCAAGTCAACAGAAAATCTTGTGTTTTCGTAGCCACTAACGTCTGGTGATCGTTAATCATCATATGATTGAGATCTGCAACCTGATTTAAATTGGTTGTCCTTACTCCTTAAAGGGGTGTTCTATTTTGAATGAAATTTGGAAATGTGTATTAAACCAACATCTAAAAGAAATGGACTATTGGGTATATTTTCATTTTGAACCCAAACATATCAAAGAAAGCAAATGCTCAACCCTTTGAAGCCTGTATCTTACGAGAGTCATATTCATGTTGTCTTATGGACATGTACGTGGATCTATAATTTATATTTACATGCACTACTACATTTAATATAATTGATACTAGTAACTTTCCTCACTTGCTTTTGCTCAAATTGATATACAAAACCCTCCCAGACTCGTTGGATTAAAGAATAGGTTCCTGAAAACCAAAAAAACTATCGAGGTTCAGTTCAGTATTGTGGGAAAGAATGACAAACATATCCAATGCCAAATCCCGGGTAAAATGAGATTCCTTATCATGGCGTCTGTTAGTTTTCATCAATGTGATACACTTTTTGCATGTATAGATACTTCATATTTATGACGTTGTGTCATTCTGCTTAGTACTTAGTTTCAGAATACAATGATATAATATTTTAAAAACACATTCTTAGTTACAATGATATAATATTTTAAAAACACATTCTTAGTTTCAGGATACAATGATATAATATTTTAAAAACACATTCAACAGCTATCAATCGAGGACCACCCTGGTCTATACGCCACCTTATACAAACCCGTTATAAAATATGCATTAAACACCATCACCAAACCACATTAAAGTGGAAAATGCATTATGCGAAACACACCGCTTCACAAGTGCAGCCACTACATCAAATCAACAGAGAGAAAAACTCCCTGAATTTTTATATTATAGATCTATATTTAATTCATTACATTACATACACAATTATTTAGAAGGTAAAAAAAAGGTGTGCGGTCCATATTAAACTGCAATTTCCTATTGCATTGAGATTTGAGACAACATAACCTTAAAAATAACACATGAGAAAACAAAAAGGGGCACTCGAAGTGGAAGTCGACACCCATGATAAGAAGAAAGAGGAAATAAAGGGAACTATTGCAAGGCATTGGCACCAGCAACAATCTCGAGAATTTCCCCAGTGATCTTGGCCTGGCGCTCCCTATTGTAAACAGTGGACAAGTTCTTCTTCAACTCAGTGGCATTATCCGTTGCATTGCTCATAGCACTCATCCTGGCTGCAAGCTCACTGGCCAAAGACTCCTGCAACGCCCTAAGAATCTGGCTGTTCAAATACAAGGGCAACAAGGCATCAAGAATCTGCACAGGGTCCTGCTCAAACTGCAAAATGGCTTCAAAATCTGCGGTTTTAGTCCTCACAACATCCCTCTCCACAGTCAACTTTCCCTCCTTTGTAGTCAACCTAAAAAACTCATCTTCAGCGGCATCAATGCAAACCCCATTCACGTCACAAATCTCTCCCTTCGGGGAGAGTGGCAGCAACGTGTGAATCACGGGATCGGATTTCACCAAAGACACAAACTTAGTGTACAAAAGCTCAACTTTGTCAACCTCCTCGCTAACGAAGAGTGAGAAAACATCATCGGCGATGGCTTGAGCTTCCTTGGCGGTGGGAAGAGTGCCACCCTCGAGGAACCTATCGACGGGGATATAAGGCCTGCGAATGAAGTAAGAGTTACCCTTTTTGCCGACGCTGATGACGGTGTATTCAAGGCCAAGCTTTTTCAACTCAGCGATTCTTGCCTCGGCTTTTTTGATGATGTTGTTGTTGAAGCCGCCGCAGAGGCCGCGGTCGCCGGTGCAGACGACGAGAGCGACCTTTTTGACGGGCCTGATTTTGGTGAGGGGAATGTCGATGTCTTCGGTTTGGAGCTGTTCGTTGATGTTGTAGAGGACTTCAACGAGGGTCTCCGAGAAGGGTCGTGCGTTCACCACCGCTTCTTGGGCTCTTCGGACTTTGGCGGCAGCCACCAGCTTCATGGCCTCGGTGATCTTCTGCGTGTTCTTGACGGATTCGATGCGGGTTCGGAGCTCGCGGAGGCCGCACTGGATTGGGGCGGCGGAGGAGGAGCGGGGAGGGGCGGTGGAGGGGTTTTGTGATGGCAGCTGAAAAGGGTTGAGGACGGAGCGGAAGGAGAGGCTGGAGCCGTCGGAAAGGGAGGGTTTTGAGGAGACCAACATTGTGAGATTGGAGCAAGACATGGTGTGTGTGTGTGTGGGTTTGGTTGCTTATTTTTTTGTGAGGGTCTCAACTCTTAACTCTTATCCTTTCCTCGTGTAAATGTGTTGAGATTCTGTATTGGCATGGGAGGAACAAGTGGAAATGAGTGGAGGTGGTGAGAGCAAGTGGATGAGGTTTTCAGATAACGATTTTGAGCGTTGCTCAAGGATTGCTGATGTGGCTTCCTGTCTCACCTGTATGCGCCTCTTCGTGTGCTTACATTCCTTCTCTAATTTTTAACTCACAATCTCACTTCCTTTCTATTTTTTTCTTTCTTAGTTACTTAATTATTATTAGGCTTAATTGTATTTTTATTCCTTAAATATTATTATATAATTTTGATCATCAAGATTTTAATTGAGTAATTTTAATCTTTAAAAAATTGTAATTGTGTGATTTTAATCCCTTAATTTTTAATCGAATAATTTTAGTCCATTAACTATTATAATTGTGCGATTTTAGTTTTTTTCATTAAAAATTTAGTAATTTTAGAATATATATATATATATATATATATATATATATAATATTTTAAAATTTTACAATTGTTTGCTTATTTAAATAAACATATATTATAATTTTTGTTAATATATCAAATGATATATATTTATTATTACTAAATAAATAAAAT